TACAGGATTAAGGTGCTTCTTGGTTTCTTCTCTTGCACTATGTTTACTAAACCTTCCAGTGGTTTTTTGATAAGGTAGATATCTTGGCTGCTGTCTGGCCAGTGTAGTGTCTTGATCCTCTTCCTCCAGAGAGAGACCTTGACATGAAGTAATGAAATAAAAGCTAAGATGCCTTTTTCAATAGACATAGAGTGAATTTCCTCTTGAATATTACCAACTTTTTTAGCCCTGTGGCATGGAGCTGAGTGATTCTGAATTGTTGGCTTTAACCCTACCAACAGTAAGTAATTCTTTTCGTACACTAGACATCTATCTAGTCATAAATTATGCTAATTACTCTGTGTACACATCCTTCTTTTAAATTCCTTAGGGCAAGTTCAAAGAAAGGAAAAATAAATCTTTCTGCACATATTAATGCTGACAATACTATAATATTTCCTGGGTATGCCCTTTGTGTCACAATAAATGATAACACTACAGAACAGGAAAGGAAAATAAACTAAATATGAAAATGTAAAGACTTGCAATTAAGAATATAACAAAAAGATCTTTATCCATCTCCAGACGTGTCACAGGTCAGAGTTCATGTCATCTTGTTTATAGATTTGCATTCAAAATTTTTTTAAACTACTATTTTATGAATGTATTTTGATAAGTTTGTTATCAGACTCTAGATTATAATTCAATTTTTATATTATACATTAGTTAGTTTCTTAATTTAAAAGTAGTAAATATTAAGAAAAAAATCCTAAATATTGATTTCTGTGTGTCACATGATATGTTGAATGCAGCATTGGTTCAAATTAGATGTTTGTGATGTCTAAATAAAAAGTGTAGTTACTTATGAATTAGATACTCAAATTACAGATATTTACAAACTAGAATCGAATATAAGATCCTTCCATCTTTTCTATTTTCTTCGATTTTTTGAAAATACTTGTTTATGTACACCTACTTTGCCCAGTGACATGTTTAACCAACTGAAAGCTCAGAATGTCCCCTAGTGGTTTTCTCAGTATTTTCACAGAAAAATCTTTCTTTTCATGCTAGATTCCAAAAATAATTTTTTCAAAC